CACACACACACACACACACACACACACACACACACACACACACACACACACACACTATGTATTTGCGGAGGGATGTGTCTTATGCTGTCTTCCATCCTAACTACAACAATAATGCTGATTAGCCATGACCCGAATATACATATGCACCAGGCACCTTCTATAACAAACAAGACGTGATTTCACCGAATAATCGCCGTGTAGACCCAATATATACATATGTTATTTCCTAACACGAGGAGTAAAGGTAAACCTGCACATATTAGCGACAGATAGTGGGAATCAACATTAAATACAGGGCCGTTGCCTGAACAAATTACTAGAGATTGACGGGGACAAAATATTATCGTGACTCCGCTCAGTCAGCTGGGTATTGACGAGGGAATGGGTGCAACTACCTGTCAACGTGCATGCATGGTGTGACGGGCTGGGCCTGAGACGATGGTTTCACACATAGCGCATGATGATTGACAATAAGTTTCGGTTTTTTTAAGATTTATTGAGCTTTTATTAGATTTTTTTCAAAATCTAGAGATAGCAGGCGCTCATCATGAAACCTCGGAAGCTAATGCCCTGTCTAAGGAAGCTACACCCGTACAAATTCTCCCTGCAGCATATCGCGAAACCTATGTCAGCGCATTTATCTACTATCTATGCCATCCAATTTCCCAAAGATCTAGGCGGGTAGGTTTCCCCTTGCGCCCCAGAGACGCCGACCCTGAAGTATTCAATGTACGCGCTGGATACTGCGATGGATAATTCTATCGTTACACGTACTATCAAGAGCGTATTAAGTATACATACTTAATGATACGCTCTTACACATATACGCTCGTGGTACTATGGATATACGGAAGACGCTATGATTCCGCCGATGAGCCGTTATATTATTATATTGTTATCGTGCATAGCAACATATTTATGCGGTAATCTTGTTTTTCGGCAATCACGACCACCAAACATGGTCCACATCGCCGCTGGCAGAATTGAACCTCAAGTAAACACGCGACCAGCGACGGGTATACCTGGATGACCTTGAGTGACCGTGACCGACATAGATAATGAGACGTGGACCGGGAGTCGTATATAAAAGGACACACCCATTCAGCCGCAGTAATCGACTTCTCTTCTGGACATATAAGGTAAATGCGCGTGCTCTCATTCCGTTAGTTTCAGTGTGACGCTTTATATCGATCTCTGGTTGAGATTTTTATTTCGTATACGATTTCAATCGTGTGCGGGGTGACCGTATAGCCTATTATAAATCTTCTTATGCTGAAGCCAGTACTATTATTGGATATATTGGATCCGTAATATAAACACAGTTATTTATAAATCTCTGATAACCTAACTTTCTATAGACCGTTACAATTAATTTGATGATTAGCTTATAATAGTTTCGCCTATTCCGAGTTAGAAATATATTTAGTTTCATATACATTTCCGCTATAATAATATCAGGAGTGAATAATAATCGATTATCTATTATCATTCACTCCTGAATTATCGATTATTATTCACTCCTGAATTATCTATTATTATTCATTCCTGAATTATCGATTATTATTCACTCCTGAATTATCGATTATTATTCACTCCTGAATTATCGATTATTATTCACTCCTGAATTATCGATTATTATTCACTCCTGAATTATCGATTATTATTTACTCCTGATAATATTGTTCTTTTTCATCGGCATAGCATCATGTTGAGGAAGATATTGATTCTGGTTTGTCTGACCGGGCTGGCGGTGGCCACCCACTCACGCCACGATCATGCGGACTTCGAGTGAGTGCACTATGCCTGTAATAGTATAGTACCTGCAATACTAATCAGTTCGTCGTATAGGTGTTCATTAATTCGCTATTGATTGTGCGAGGGATAGACTGGAGATTATATCTAGATTCCGGCACGACGTACATGACCTCTTTTTTCTAGAAATATACTAAAATAAATTATACCGGCAAGTATAACCTCGTATCGAATGTATACCAGAAATAGTATGTATATGTATGCATGTATGTACCAGAAATATACGACCACTAACTTGGTGACGCATCTTAGATGTATTAATTATGAGAAAAAGAATTCTATTCGCACGCGTACGATCTTTCTTTTGAGCGCCCTTCCCCTTCTCCCTTTCACTGTCTCGATCTTTCTTGCTCATTTCTTGCCTTACCTCTCTCTCGCACTGTTTCACTCTCGTTCTTTCTATTTCTGTTGTTCTTTCTCTTTCTCTTTCTCTTTCTCGTTCCCTTTCCCTTTTCCTTTTCCTCCCCTTTCCTTATCAGTTTCTCCGTCGCCCTTTCCTTTTCTCGTTCTCGTTCTCTTATTCTCTCTCTCCCTTTCTCACCAACCGATGATGTGTATAGCTCTCGTCTTAGCGATTTATGTGGGGGTCGACTCGAAAGCCTAGTGCTACTTTGATCTTCACAGCACTCATTTAATTGTTAGTAAGTAATTCACTATTCTTTTTTATTTATACTCTTACGTTATACCCATCATACACTGTATGTGTTGTATGTGTATACTGCTGTATTGTGACTAAGTTATGTGCTAAATAGATAATCTGAATCTAACTCGCGTCCCCCCGCGTGCGTGTGTATTTTGCAGACGGGATCCTTGCACGGGCAGGGAATGTCCCACCTACGGTGTCGTCTGCTCGTCCAGCGAGTACGAGGTGAGAGAGTACGCGGAGTCATGGTGGGTCAGCACCACAGTACGCAGCTTCAGCCGGGGTTACGCCGCTTACCAAGGAGCCGGCATAATCTACAAGTACGTGCATCACTTTTTTTCTGAGTAATTTATGACCCACTGATTTGATTAAAGCAAAAGAAAATCTTTTGTATAATTTTTGGGGGTTTAGGCCATTTTGGGGGTTAGGTCATTATTTTTCATAATATTATATTGACCCGACTATCATATCAGTGATGGTCAACAACAAACATCCATTGTGTTTATCCGCGTTCGTGTATTTTCCATTGCGTCATTTCATCGGCATATTTCGAGAGAGTTCAACATAATTTAATTATAAATAATATATTTATTTAAAATATAATTATTATTATAATATAATTAAAATATTATAATTAATATATAATATAATTAATATATAATATAATTAAAATATTATAATTAATATATAATATAATTAAAATATTATAATTAATATATAATATAATTAAATATAATTAATCTCTATTATCCGCTCTTGATATTATCATATATAATTATAAATATATAGCTTGCCATTGCTACACATAATTCGGCACAACGTCTTTTGCAATGTTTTATAGCGATACTCATTTATAGAAATCACACGATTTTCATCTCCTCGTGATGAATTCTCCCCTTGTTTTCTGAGCGATTACCTTCACATGCTGCATCGTTATGCGTTCTGCTTCTGTTCCCGTGTAGGTACATGCACGGTGCGAACTCGGACGCAGCTGACATCGAGTCAGGTTGGCCGATCCTCGTGCAGATACGCTCTAACGTCGAGGAAGCGAAAGATGCGGTGCGTAACGTGCGAGAGGGCGGCGACATAGAACAGCAAAGCTTCAGCGTCGCCATCTACATCCCGCGCGAGAATTGGGGCTCGATGCCAGAGCCCTCTGACGAGCGAGTCAAGATCGACACCATTCCCGTGACGCGCTTCTTCGTTCGCAATTTCGGCGGCTGGTCGTCTGGCATGAAAACGCTGCGCTCGGGTAGGTACCTTGCGCAGAAGCTGAAGGCCAACGATGAGTGGTTCGACTCGGACTGGATGTATCACGCCATCTACAACAGGTGTGTGCGTGTGCGTGTGTGCGTGTGTGCGTGCGCGCGTGTTTGTGTGTGTGTGCGTGCGTGTGCGTGTGTGCGCGTGCGCGCGTGCATCCGTGCGCGCGTGTTTGTAGATATGTACGTGTATGTCTACGTTATTATTGTTTGGCAATGAAGTATTCGCGTTATCAGATATTCGGTCTCTCATAGGTGTTGGTCTCAACACCAATGTTTACCATTAACATTTAATGTTTGCGTACAATCCAGTGCAGTAACAATTAGGTGCAACATCTATCGCGCAAATATTTGAAACTAATTAATATGTCACCGCCGATGAAGCAATATTTGAGTTTGACACCCATAATAAATAAAGTAACGTGGACTGTACGCTAGCATGACATACATACATCTCCTCATCTGTGTACGTTCGACTCTCTGCGGCAGGCCTAACCAAGTCTTCGGAAGACGCAACGAGATCTGGTTTTTCTCTCCCAAGTTCACGACACCAGCTTGCGCCCGCGATCCACCGGTTGACAACAACATCGAAGGTACGTCCGATGACGTCAGCTGTTACGTCATGTCTCGCGCTTGCATCACAGCAAGCTTCTTAACATTCTCGGTTAATTCATTATAGCATGTACTCGTGCACTCGTGATTTATCAGCCTGCAGATAATTAGATTCGTGTAAAAGATATTTCTTCCATGTAGTTTATGGCCAGAACAACTCGCCCTGACAATGTTTGTGTGGGACGAGGCCCAACACTGCCTCCCTAGTTGATGTAATATCGATACTAACTATAAGGGGATGTCACGACTACTATCTACATAATTTATTATTTTGATTAGTTATACTGTGATTTGTTACAAATCGGTTCCATGGGCAGACGTTGGGAAGAAGGGAGGGGAGGACGGATAAGGACGGATAAGGTAGAAGTCATTCATGCTCTGCATTCTATAACACGGGCAGGCCAGAAGGCTCACGCCACAGCAGAAATTCGAATCTCGGATATTCAAAAAAACTGTTGTGACCAATCCGATTATGCGTTACTTTTCACTCCTGGGTTGATTAATCCGGATACGGATTTCATTCAGTAGCTATGTGCTCGAAATTCGGAATTCGACATCATACGAGAATCGAGTTTTGAATTCAGGCTGGTCGTGCCTCACCGCTGTCCTCTTTTGTCTCGTGTCCACGCGTATCTTTGACACCCGAGATAATAAGCCATATCGGAATGTCCCCGCCGCCATATTGAGATCAGATAAGAGGGGGTATAAGTTGCCTATATATAACATGGTTTGTATAGGACTAGTCTAGGTTTTTGATCTATAATTCTCTTCACTAACATCGTACTTCAATTCACAGGTGCGTTTCTGTTTACAGAAACATTTACAAATATGATTGTGGTCATTTGGGATATTTTGCAATGTTTGTGTTAATGCAAAAACTAAAAACGAGTGTTTACATTAAAGTAATTACGTCACCGTGAATAGTAAAAATAACAAGATATAAGTGATTCTGTTCACTTTTTATGGTTAAATTGCTGCATTATACTTCTTATTTTACTATATTGTTCGATGTGAACATACACTCGTGACTCATACATAGCCCATAGCAAGCAATAGCAAGCATAATATCAAATCGTCCAGGTTTTTTGGATTTTTAACTAGTTGAGAAACAATCTTATCAGGTAAGAATTTGACGATACGTTTAGTCCCGTTAGTCCTTACTTTTAATGTAAAAAAATGGCAACAAAAATTTTACAAATTTTACCATAGAAAATTCGTGACGTAGTCAATTTAATCATCTTTCCTAAGCGCGCCTCGGTCATTTTATATCCCCTTTTTCTATTACCTAAGCAACACAGCTGGACTTTCCGATATCACTTATATTAGGGGTTAATAATGACAAATTTGTCATTATGACAATTTGTCAACTGACAATAATAATGACAAATTTGTTATTATTAACCTCTGCTTATGTCCACAGAGGAGACGACCGTGTGGGAGCTGCTGGAGAGATACGACAACGGAATAGAGAAGAGGAGCTACCCGGGAGGAAGATGTATGTGTTACACGGTCAGTGATGACGTGTGCGATGAACGCGAGGCTATGCGGCAGGCTATGGGAGGCATCAAGAAGCTCGTACAAGGTAGCGAAAAATAGTAAATAATAATAATAATAATAATAATAGTAATAATAATAACTAGAGCACTCGGAGAGCACAGACCTCCGCCAAGGCAGCTGAATTCTCTCAATGTGAAATTTTTATTAATTAATTTATTAATTAAGTGAAAAAATTAATTAATTAATTAATTAATTAAATAATTAATTGGATCCGGATTAGTGCGAGCGTGCAGGTGGGGAGGACTGTGGTTGCCCCTTAGCCTGTGTTTGTAAGTCTACAGCGTCTGCTAAACGACAACACGCTCTCTGCGCTCGTCTCTGCATGCAACCAAGCCGTCTCAAAGTCTGTTCGATCAGGGAAACACATCTTGCATCCCGTCTAGACAACCTGCGACCGCCGTTGGGAAGCGATAGATCAGCGTCGTATAGAGAGAGCGGCGGCGCGCACATGCGCGCGCGTCATATGCCATAAAATCGTGAATGCTCACAATCGATCAGGGAGCCCTGGCTTGCGGGGAAGCAGCCGTATCGCGTGTAACTCCCGCGGAGAGATGTTGATAATTTCAGCTTCTATTTTGGCAGGCAGTCGGTTTAATTTTCCACGTCGTGGCTCAGAAGCTGGATCTATCTTCGGCGGTTAGCGGAACTTGATGCGTAAACCGTTCTGTCTGGTTAGAGCATCCTCACTTCGTGGCCCGTGGCAGTTATAGGCGTTATTACGGTCCGATTCCGCGCGCCGCTGAGTAACCCTAACAGTTCGGCAACGTATCGACAGTAGAAAAAATCTATATTTCTGGCGGCAAATCCCAGTCAGTACATCAATAAAACTCCATTTCAAATTGATGATGGCGTTCGCTTCGTTTTACTAAGTCATACTGGCGTTTTTGCATTTTGTCTTGCTCCACTTCCCCACCTCATCTGCTCCATCGCTCTCGCTGTCTACTTCGATCTCGTTCTTTTCATTCTCGCGCTCTCTGGCGGCTCTCGCCTTCTTTCTCTGCTCTCGCTCGTGCTCTCCTCCCGCCTCCCTGTACGGTCTCCTCGTCTCTCATTCCCTCTCTTTGCCGAACGCGCACATGACTCTCATACGTTGCTCGTCACTTTCTTTAGGCCTACCAATCGTATTCAGACGTACATCCACTTCTCCGCGCATCGCTGCCAGCCCCCCCAGCCACGCCTACCTCCTAACGACCTCCTATTACGACCCGTGTAC